TTTCACGATTGAGTCCGGACATTCTTTCCTGATAGTTGTGGCTAGATGTGTATAAGAGACAGGTATGTATGTATGTATGTATGTATACAAATCGGGATAGGGTGTAGGGAAAAACTAAAAATCCGTCTTTCGAAATGCTATATAAATAAATAGATAAGTAATAATCTCAGATAGGAACATAAGATTTAATGATCATACCAAATGGGGAGGGTTCCTAAAACTCCAGATGCCGTGAAGGGGAAAAGCGTGTTGGACCCCAGCTTTGTTATTATGGACGATACAGAGGTCTGATAGATTATTGGTTAAAATGTTAAGATTTAATATTCGCTTCTTAAGTTTTATTTAAAAAAAATATTTAAAAATGTGTAATCAGTACATTTTCAATCTTAAAATTTGGACGTTTTTCGATTTGGGGTGGGATTTTTGGGAGCGTACTCACGCACTCATATTAAAATAATGCTTTATTAACATGTACGCTTTACATAATGTATTAAATCAATCAAACAATCCATTTCATTTTCTGAATTTGTATTCCTATACCTCATGAAAGTATGAATGTCGTAAAGTTTCCATAAAATATTTTTAATCTAATGATATTTATACTTAATTAGGCCTAACTTAACACAGATGCCAAAATAAAAATAGTTTGAATGTATTTCTCACTAGTTTAATCTCTTTATTTCAGTGTCTCAGGTCAAATCTACCGATCCATCAATAAGTGCGAAGTCGATGTAAAATTATTGTCAGCGGAACACGATGTGTATTGAATTGCCGAAACACAAGATGCTATCAATAGCCTGATTTATGTGGTCTTAATTCTACAAATAATTGCGCGCAAAAATTTACAGTATTAGGATTTATTTCACTGGATTGCCGGAATGCGATCAAAATTTGCTAATATATTTCTTATACAACGAACACGAAATTCTCGAACGATATTACATATCGTATATAATTGGGCCTAAGCATTATATATATTATACTATATTATATTACCGGTATATTATAATATATAACAAGAATCTTTATATTCTATTTATATTACGTTTATATATATATTCTGATGTAACATTTCCGAGTATGTAAGGAATAAAAGTAAACTGTAGTGTAATTTATAATACATAATTGTGTGTACTTCCTTTGTTGTAATTGCATTAAGAATAATTTTATATATTTCATGATTATTAATCAGTATATAATCGAAATAAATATATTATAATCACTTCGATTCGAATATAGCACTATTGCAGGCTACTATATCTTATAAATACTCTCCAAATATATTTACATGACACCAACAAATTACGAAACTTTAGATAATTGTAAAATTCGACAGCACCTTGCTGTCGAATTTTACAATTATCTAAAGTTTTTGTTGAGGGCGTCCTCGAAAGAATTGCTAGTTTATTAGATAAAGTAGCATATTATTGAAGCAATTCTTCACTTTTGGTTTAAGCTTTTAAGCTTATCATTTTAAGCTTATAAGCTTATCATAATAAGTATATTTTAGCTATTGAATTTATTACAGTAAACGTAGACATTAAATAAGATGAGAAGAAATGCACAATTCCATTTGATATTTATTTTCAAGCATTGAAATCAAGTTGTGATGATAATTGATTTGATAATTGATTTGATAATGATAACGATAATGATAATGATAATAAAAATAATAATGATTATTCTATTATTATAAATGTTCATTTTTTATTTATTAAGCCTCATCACTGCACACACAGCGAGTAAAAGTAAAGACAGTATATAA